GTAACGTTTCCCCCCACGCCCTTTCTTTTTGCTGACCTGTATACTATGCATGCTTCTATCTGAAGACTGTTGTACTTACTGATCTCTGCCTGCAAGTCTTCCCTCCAGATTGTATTCACATCCCTGCTCAAATGATTCCTCAAAAATGCCTTGCTTGACCAAACTATCTGAAAATAGAATCTCCCAACACTCTGTAACATCTCTGTTTTAATTTATACAGAACACTTTTCCCTTTGACATTTATATTGTATTCTATGTATATTTGTTGTTGTTGTTGTTAACTCATTGTTATCTATCCAACAAGATTTAAGCCTCATAGGGTAATGTCTCTGTCTGTTTTGCTCACCCCTAAATCTTCAACTTTTTAGAATAGTGCTTGGCATATAGTAGATACTTAATAACTATTGTTGAATGATTGAATTTCTGCACTTATTGCTCTTTTCTAAAAAATACAATAACCAGTAGTAGGATGAAAATTATATTCTTTTTTTTTTTGAGAGGTTTTTATGCTATAGGGCGCGTGCGCTCACCAGACAGAGAGAGACAGAGAGACAGAAAGTGAGAAATCACCCTCCAGGGGGGATGGTCACGCTGCAATCCCTTCTCCTCCATTCTCCTCTCGGGATCTTGGGCACGCACGCACACGCGCCTGGTGTGAGTTTTAAGCCACTGGGTTCAGGACGCAAACCGCGGTCGACTACGTGGGAGTCCAGCGACATAGCCATTACACTAACTGCTGGTTCCTGAAAATTATATTCTTTAGTGACTTTTGTATCCTGTATTTTGCCATTGTGATAAGTAAGTTTTATAATTTATCTTTGGTACTTTTCCTTAATAATGGCTTTATCAATTATATATATTTAGTAGCCTGGTTATTAATGACATTTTTGGTCACAGGATGCTATTCTCTGTTAATGTATATATTTTCCTTTTGACTCTCATTGGCCTTCAAAAGAAAACCAGGGTAAAATATAAAGAGTTAGAACTGTTTTAATATAAATCATCACTATGATACTGTTTGCACTGTTCTCTGCATCTAATTTTTCCCCTACTTTTAATGGTCTTCGAGCTCACATTTATTGTTGAGTTTTTCATAATTGAAGAAGTATGCATAACTATTGACTTAACAGTTTTCTGTCTGAACATTTTGTCTATCATATAGGTACAAGAAAACTTATCATAAAATTGTTTATAATGAAAAATGCAAAACCATATAGATATTACAGGGAGAGTTTACTAAATTTGTTACATTCATAGAATGTCATTGAAAATGAAGTTGAGCTATATTTATTAATATACAAAAGTGTCCTTGTTTTTTATTTTTATTTTTTTGAGAGCTTTTTGCTATAGGGCATATGAGCTCACCAGGAAGACAGAGA